ACCAGATCCCGGTGGTCGACCACCACATGAAGAACACCCGGATGCGAATCCCGTCGAGCTCGGAGGAATGGAAGAGGGTGATGTAGAAGCCATATGTGGTCAGCTCGGCATGCAATTCCCTGTTTAGGATTTTCCAATTGATACTCCCCTGTTATTAAAAGCGAGCACATGACAAATGGATAGTCACAAAATCCAATTGACTTTCCTCATCTGTTATGGCGGCTACTGCTAGCTCCAATTGTTATAAGAAGATGGGAGAGAAGATAAATAATAGAGAACCCCTGGGTAAGCTATAAAGCCATCAATCTCCATCATTTCTCTTCTTCTTCTTAATTGGGCTTATTTGGGTCTTGAAATTCCGATGCCACCTTCAAAGTCGCAGACGGAGGAACAACCGGCGATATATTAGAGCGGGATTTGTTAACGAAGATGAACCGCACTTGATCAGGAGCATAGGTTTCGATCTAGAAAGTTGGCGAGGTTGGTATTGGGGAATTGTGTCGTCCCCGTCATTCGGGGAACAGAGTGACGAGCCCAGTCCCAGATCCGCCGCCCTCCTTCTCGTCGCCCCGGCCTTCTCCTTTTCGGTGTAGACGGTTTAACCGGCCCTTAACCGAAACCGCCCGGTCGGTTTTCGGATAACCGAGCCGTCTGCTTCGGTCGGTTGCCGGTGGACACAGGTCAGGTCTCGGTTTAACCGAAAACCGAGATTTCGGTTTTCGGTTAAACCGAAACCGACCGAGTGACAGCCCTAGATTTCACTTCGTTGGAATGTATTAAAGCTTTCATTAATTAATCAACCGAGTACTGCAGAGAAAATTGACATTTTTTATTTTGATATAATTAATTGTTTGTGATAGGCATCTCAATATCTAATGGATACTACAGAGCATAGTAACCAATAGTAGTAATCCAAAACTATATTTTGTTCTCCACCTATAGAAGTAGATGGTCAGTCTATGTTGTGGCTTGAAAATAAGATAACCCTTTGATAGTATAAAACAATAAAAACTCCGAACAATGAAGCATAGTTCATTCGTGTGACCTACAATCTACTCGAGACTCGACATCCATCTGAAGAAGTACAAATATCAGACTTACTAACCTAATATAAATTATTCACTGAATATATCGATATCAAATCTCGATTGAACCAATTATTTAACTACCTACCACCAACTATTTACATAATATATCTCATCACTGTCGCCTCACCCAGCCAGAAGTACATGCTCTCTACTGTCTACTCATGTGTTCAGTTTATTACTCTTTTTACATATTTATTAGGTGGCGATACCGCGCTTTGTCGCGGGGCGGAGATGGCCTATGGGCATGTATTATGTGGCCCGTTATAGTGTTTTGCTAGTATTATTAGTCTAAAATTAATTTTTTTATTAACAGCTTTGTTAGTAACATTGACTTGACAATATGATATTGACCGAGAAGAGATATATATGGCTGTCAACATCCAACTTAATTTTTTTTGAAAATGTTGGCTAATAAATTATATTTACCTAAACCCAAGTAGACCCATTGATTTTGGGTAGGGTATGAGTGACGTATATATGGGTTTGGAAGTTTGTAGATGGGCTTGGGTAGCGTATGGATATTTACTTCCATAATCTAAATGTGTATGAGTTGGGTATGGATACTCATTTATTCGAGAGTGTTTTAATTACACATACAAAAATTAGACCTATTTGTATAACTAAAATAGTTAAGGTACCAAAATGTAATACACAAAAATTTTAGGTACTAAAATATAATGATCCATCAATATTTTGAGGACTTATATGTCCAAAAAATAAATTTTGGTCATAAATCTAAAGATCTATTAAGTTTAGGTACCGAACTATAATTTGCATAGTTGAGGCTTAATTCCTTTTATGGTGATGTATTAAGATGATAATTATTTACTTTTTTATAGAAAAATGAAAACTATTTATTTGATATGTGTAGATACCTAACCAAATATTCCATGTATAATTGTTGAAAATTCAAGCCTGGGTGAAACATAAAAACTCTAGAGAGGAGCAAAAGGAATACAAACTGGAACTCGCTTAAAATATCATGCCTTCAAATCTCATTGTGAAAAATGACGACTTTCTAATAAGTAATAACCATATATATTTATTTTGAAAGGACTCAATATTGAGCTGAAAAAGTTTAGTGGTTCATGGTTCAATTATTAATTCTATATACTGTTGTGAGTCGTGTATGAACCCGTTCATACTTATGATTAGAATACATAAAAATAGTATACTAATTAGGGTTAGACGAAGAAGGCTAAAAAAGAAATAAAGAAAGGGTTATGGAAGGCGAGTGAAAAATGAAACGAAGAGTAAGTAGATTATAGAAATATTTTAACTAAATCTTTTAGTTGGTCGTCAATACAACAGTCAATCATTTTCACCATAGCAATTTATTGACACTTGCTTATATAGGTCTGACATATTTTGTTACATGTAGTTAATAGAAGTTTGTTTAGTACCCCGTAAATGTAATAAATGAGTTTATTAATACGCTCTTGCAATATTTTAGAGTCGTCTCTCTTTTATCATTTATTTAATATTTCACGTAATGAGCAAATATAAAATGATCGAATCTTCTTCTACAGTTGAGTGATACAACATTTTGTATGGTACAAATTATACTTTTATGTTATGGTAGATTGGATTCATGGATTCAAGTAAATCTAAACATTTAACAAATTTATATTAAAATTAAATTTGGGATATAAAAAATGTAAAATGCACATTATAATGACTAATTTGTAATTTGTTTGGCAATCGTAACCAAACTTCAGTTTAATATATCTTAATACTTATTAAAGTGATAATGTAGTTACTGTTGCATTAGAGAATGTTTAAAATGACAAGCACCTCTAATTTGTGTAGGTGACAGCCCGCCCTAAATTACGTGGCCATTATAATTTTTTTTTTCGATGGTTTTCATTGAAATCATAATTTTTATGTTTTTGTGGTCAGTTTTAGATTAATTTTATCTGACCTACTTCTCCACTTTTGCATAGAGAATACAATCTCCTACAATCATAGTTCAATCATGGATAAAATCAAGCTTGACACATTCCAATCCGAGTCTTGACTTATCAGGAAAAAACCAAAAATTACAAAATCATATAGAAGGTCATATCGAAAAAGTTAGTATTAGGATATTTTGTACTAAAATCGTAGTTCAATAGTGGTCAAATCAGGCTTGACACTTTGCTCCAATCCGAACCTCGACTTTGCTAAAATCGTAGTTAGTATTAGGACTTTTTTTATTGGACCGCCAGTACGATACAATCGTAGTTCAACCTTGATTAAATCCAGCTTGACACGCTGCTCCTACCCGAACCTCGACCTATGTTAACAGAAAATCAAAAATTGTATCCATACCTAAGGTTGTACCGGAAAAGTTAGGATTATAGTATTTTGTGCTAAAATTGTTGTTCAACTATGGTTAAAATTCGCCTTGACATATTGCTCCAACCTGAGCCTCGATTGATGTTAAGAAAAAAAAATGTAAAACCATACCGAAGGAGGTACCGTAAAATTTATAATTAGGATATTTTGTGATAAAATCATAGTTCAATCGTGGTAAAATCAGGGGGACACGTTGCTCCAACTCAAACCTCGATGTATGTTCAGAAAAAATATAAAATTGTAAAACCATAACGAACTTCGTACCGGAAAAGTTAGCATTATGACATTTTTCTATTGAACCATTGCTAAACACGATTACAAATCAATTACGAGTTAGCAAACAATACATCTAATACTATTACAAGCCGCAACAAAGCGCGGCACATAATTTATCTAGTATTAATAATCACTGCTTTATTTATCACTTGGGTTTACATTGATTGGTATCCAATACATCACGTGGGAAGATTGGCTACTAACAAGCCAAACTAGAAAGTCAGCCAGTAGACTTTCGATTTTGAATCTACTGTAAATCTAACCTTTGAAAATAGTGGCCTGCAGTTTGAAAAAGAAAAAAGAAAAAAGAAAAAAATCAACCCATTCTCCTTTATGTCGAGAGACATAGGACTTTGAATAGAACTACAGAAGCATCAAATTATCGTATTTGAGACACCAAACTCTTTTAATAGTTTTTTGCTGCTCTGTGACATTCGATTACAATTGATATCTCAACTATGCAGTAGTTCGGTCTTTACTGACCGCTCGCATCCCCATTTCTTGCATCTGCATTAAATGGAAGGATGGGCTTTCTGGAATGTAGCCTTGAAAATGAAGGAATGGAAAGGTGGGAGGGGGGGAGCATTTACATTCTTGTTGGAGCCTTCAGCTATGGTCAAGGAAACATGTCTTATAAATTATCATCACGTGAGTGATACTATTGTCATGTCTCTTTCTTTTGTTAAAACACATGTCTCTACCATCACTTCTCAAGATCTAGTTCATGAGGTGGGTTAGTAAGCTCATACTTATGCATAATACTAACGAATCAATTCTAAGCTAATCTACGACGAATGAAAATGCAAGATATTTGAATAAGAATGAATTGGATTATCGGGTTTCTGGAGGAGCTCGATTGATTGGTGGTTAAGATTTACATTTTCATTTCATAAGGGTGATATAAGAGTAGGACGAACAAGAGATTGGTCTAATGATAATACCACTAGTCTTGAATTGGAAGGGTTAGTTTCAAATCCCTTAAGTAAGTTTAGTTGCTACTTAAGGGATGAATATGGGACATACAGATACAAACCCAACCAACCATTTATGATTTAACTTATAAAGACTTGCATTAAAAGGAAAATAAGCACACTTTTAGCTTACCATGTTTGGAATTGTTGTAAAACCTTGACAACCCATAATAATTGCAACCCATTCAACACTCATTGGGAAGGCTATAATTCCTCACTTAAAATTGGCCAAAACAAATCATGTCAAAACTCAAAAGATTTATCAACATTTACGGATAAAAAAAAAGTGAAAAATAATACAAATATGAGAGGTGATTCAAAAGAAAAACTAGCTGGACGGTAAAACAATGGAGAAGAGGGGCTTCTCCTGCCCCTTATTCTCATCTGAACCGATCCCCAATTTCGACATCGAAACCTCCATCTCTGTGCTTCTACCGCCGCCGCGACTGTTATTCCGGCCAAGCCGCCGCCCGTTCAGTACTCCCGTCGACCTCGACTTCCTCAATCTCACAGCTCCCTTCCCCGTCGTTCTCACTGCAGCCTTGTTCAGCCTGTAATACTCGTCCGCCTTCATCAATTTCATCTCCCCAAACGAACCGATCGATCTCGACCTGTACACCACCCTCTCCTCCTCCCCCTCCGCCGTCGCATCTCCGATCACATCGCTTCCGTGTTCGGCAATTGAAACGCTGGACACTTTCCTGGTCTTCCTGCTTCCCGCCCTCACCGTCGCCCTGCCAATGCTGTTACTAACAGCGGCGGCGTCGCGGTCGTCCTCCAGCGGCTCCATCTCATCCACGCGCCCCACGCGCTGCCTCAACTGTCTCCAAATCGCCGGCGATTCCGCTCTCTTCCTGATCCCCTTCAGCGCCTCCACCACCGACGCCATCCCGGGGCGCTTCCCCGCCGTCGACCGCACGCATCTCGCCGCCAGTACGGCCAGGCTCCGAATCACGGCTCCGTCGCTCGGGGCCCCGATTCGCTCGTCGCAGATCGACCCGAACTCGCATCGGTTGATCAGCGGGACCGCCCAATCGACGACGGAAGGCGGGCTGAAGTTCACGTCGATTGCGTTCCTCCCGCTGATTATCTCCAGCAGCAAGATCCCGAAGCTGAAGACGTCGCTCTTCGAGCTCAGATCCCCCGGGGCGAGGTATCCCGGGTCGAGATAACCCAGCGTCCCCGCCGGCGGAGTACACCTGACCCGGACGTCCTCCACGTGTCCCCTCAGCGCCAGGCCGAAATCCCCCAGCCGGGCCTTCCATTTCCCGTCGATGAGGACGTTGGAGGATTTGATGTCGCGGTGGATCACGGGCGGGTCGGAGCAGTGGAGCGCGTGAACCGCCTTGGCCACCTGCAGAGCGAACCGGATCCGTTTGGTCCAACCGGGTGGCCGCCTGGTCGGGCCGGAATGGAGCAGGTCGTGGAGCGAGCCATTGGGCATGTACTCCACCACGAGAAGTTTCCGCTCCTCGGCGGCGGCGCAGAACCCGATTAGATTGACCAGCCCCGGGTGGCGGACTCTGGAGAGGATCTCGATCTCGTTCTCCCCCGGCGTGGCGACGGCGGGGGCGAAGTTGCTGCGGAAGGCTGGATCCGGGTTTCGGGGATGGTTCGTCCGCTTGACCGCGGCGATTAGCTTGCCGTCGTCGAGCACGGCTCTGAAAACGGCGCCGTGGCTTCCCTTGCCGAGGAAATTATCGGCGGAGAAGCCGCCTGTTGCGGCGGATAGTTCGGCGTAGGAGAACTCTCTCGCGGCGGCAGCAGCAGCATTGTTGGAGGCAGAGACGGCTCTCTTTTTCACTCTTCCTCTCCTTGGCTGGCTGCGATCCCAGTTGTAGGGATCGCAGACGGCGATTGCGGATTCGGCATTGCAGCGGAGGTAGCCCATGGCCGAGAATAAGAATGTGCTAAGAAGTCATATATTTTTCTTGGTCGAATAAGCTAAGAAGTCACTGGAATGGATGTTAGTGGAGCTATTTCAATGGCGACTGAAAAGGGGAAGGAAAAATAAAGTAATGTGTGAATGGGCAAACAGGTATAAATGGGGGAGTGGAGGAATTGGGGAAGTTGGGAGGGAAATTCAATTTTGGGGGGTGGGTTTGTTCAAATTAGGTAATTGGGGGATTAAAGAGAAAGAATGGAGAGGGTGAGATTTGGGAAAATATATTAATTGGGGAATGGAAACGCGTGCAACTTTTTGATGAGGAGGGGGAATCAAAGAAATTTGATTTTCTCGGGGGATGTTTGGCTTTAAAGAAAGGGGAGGAAAAAAGTGGTGGGAGGTCGAGCTCGAAAGAGAGGAAAGTTGAGGACAGACAACCCATCCATCCACTTCTTCTTCGGTCCTTTAGCTCCTTTTGACTTATCATTCTTTTGTCATCCAATCACTTCTTCTGTTCTTCATTCCTATCTAGTTGATTTTTCATTTTTGACATAAAGTAAAGATACCCTTGTTCAGTCATACAGTACACTAGGCCAGACTATAGTTTTGAAATTTTGGTTTGTGTTTGACTATAGATCGTCTCATTAACGAGTTCATGAGCTCTATTGGAATTTAGCTCATCAATTAGTTTGCGATATCGGCTCGAGCTCTGTTATTTGGTTCATAATCTATAATTGTTCATTTCATGGTATTTAATAGTAATTTGTATATGAGCACCTTATCATACATAGTTTCTCTTTTAAACTATAAACAAGACATATTTTATCATGTGCTCAAATTCTTAAACGTCATATGTGGTGGGATATATAATCAACAAATCTATGAATTATTAACAAGCCAATGATTAATTATTGATCGATATGCTAATATAAGTTGCTAGTTGAGGTGACTCGCCTAACCATACTATCGAGGAGCTAGCTCATAGCTCAAAAGAAGCTAGCTCGCTAGTGCAGCTTAACAAACCATCGAGTCGAGCTGGTTCATAAGCCTTATCAGCCGAACAATGCTTAGCTCAAACTTGACTTGTTAGTAAACAAGCCAAATGTTGAATGAGATTCTTCCGAACCGAACGTTGAACCGCTCTTGAGCAGTTTAGCTCATTTGCAACCCTAGTTACCTATATATTCATGAGAAATTTCACAATGCTTTAAAGCATTGGTGCTTTAGTTTTTGTCTTTATGGTACAACTTCAGGTTGTACTTTTAATTTTATGGTACAACTTCAGGTTGTGCCTATACTCTTTTGTAAAATCCATTTATAGTACAAACTAAAGTTGTACCTTTATGTTATTATACAACTTCAAGTTGTACCATAACATAAAGGTCAAATTGCCTTATGGTGCAACTTCAATTTGTACTTCTAAGTTCTAACGTTATGGTACAACTTCAAGTTGTACTTTAAAACACAAATATTTTAAAGGGTAATGTCTATTTTTTTATCCAAACCTTTTCAGATTCTTTTACATTATTCAAACCTATTAAAATAATCAAAATAAATTTTACTAGTACTAGGGTTATCAGACATATTTGGTTCTTGTTTAGTTTGAATGGTTTGATTCCTTGTTGTTCAACGTCTTCATGGTGATGCTGAGTGAAGAATGCTGGTGATGATTGTTGGAGTTGCGTTTTGGGAATTTTTGTAGGTTTGATGATTTTTGCTGTGTGGTGTTTTTTATGGGGGATAATAGTGTCTCTAGAGTATTACCTCAAACACTTAGTGCCTAGGCACCTCAAGACAGAGGGTTCGTTTGGAGAACGGGATTTAGGGCGTGGATTCATTGAATCCGTAGATTTTGTAGAAAGTTATGTTTTTTTGTTGCCTTTTGTATTGTGGATTTTAGCTTTAAAGATTTCAAATCTCTAAAATCTATGGATATCAAATCTCTCATAATTAGAGAGGTTGATTTTTTCTCCTATCTTTTCTCTTTCTTTTATTTATTTATCATATTAAATATATTTACTAAAAAAGTTTTTAATATTTCTCGAACAACTCTAATTTTTTATTAAGGGTAAACATGTTATTTAATATAAAAATTTTATTTTTATTTTCATTGAATGTTAACAATCACAGTTACCAAACAATAAACATTTTAAAATCTATTTTCAACAGTCCGAAGAGTTAGAATCTTTAGATTGTTGACAATCTATAGATTTAAACTCAAATTCTCCAAACGACCCCAGAGTCTTGGCTTTGAGAGAAAATTCTCAACTGAAACTTTTATTCTCTGCCTCCTTATGAGGTCTTCACACACATATTTATAGCAGGTTCATCACCTGCTTATACGTAAGGGCTTACATCACTTTCCAACAAGTGAGAAAACAAACAAACTAGCTTTACAATACAGGGCTACATTTGCAGAGAAAGTTTTGCAAAGATATCTAGACAAGGCTTAGTGCGATGTAGCTATCATCTTTTTTATTTTGTCTTGAAGGTGAGTCATCCTTGTATTCTTTCCTTTTATTCTTCTCCATTATTGCTGCTAGTGGTAGTGGTGGTCATGTCGGCTGCACAATGAATGCATATATGTAGGACTAAAAATAAATAGTACAGGAGAAATAGAATTAACCACCAATGTTAAGAAAAACTAGATAAATTTCCCGATAAAATGGAAAATCGGAAACTGATAGGGTATCCTAGTAACTAAGGAAACAATACCCTAGCTAATGGCATAAAGAAGGAAAGAAGACAAAAGAGCAAAAAGACAAGGCTGGGAGACAAGAGACAAGGCCAGGCACCTGACATCAGCAAGGACAAGGGGCAGGGGGACACCCTCTGTCAAAAAGGACTATGTACAGTGTCAGAAGGTCTGAGGCGCCCGACCACAACATTTATGGCTTGGCAGGCGCCCAGACCACTACCTAACCCTCAAATGTGTATAAATAGGAGTTCTCTCCTCATAAATGGCAATCTATCTACTCTTACTCTAACTTCTCTCTACTTTCTCTCTCTATATACTTCTTCTCTTCTTCTACTTCGGACGAGGCGGAGCGCCTACCCCCTCAAAGTCATGGCTGACGCCCCAAACCCCTTGGACCCGAGTGACGCTCAGTCGCGCGGGCTCAAACAATTGGCGCCCACCGTGGGGCCAAGCATGACTTTGAAAGACGTTTCCAACTCAAGGAAGGGGGAAGAAAGGAGTCCGGCACCAACAAAGACCCCTCTCAAGCAAGTGGTTGGTCGTGAAGCGATCAACCCCCAACCACTCACCATCCAAGGTTTAGAGGCATCCGACGACGACGATCCATGCGGGCCAACTAGCGAAACTTCGGTAAAAGCAAGCACTTCAAATGGCGAGCATGCAAGGCCAACTAGACCAAGTCATGACCGCGTTGACAGCACTAACAAAGGCCAACGGTCAGGCGCCTCTCAATCCCCAAGAAGCCGCAGAGAAGAGGAGGCGCCTCCGAGGAAAGATGCAGGAGGTGGAGGCGCTACCCATGAACTCCCCACGGGAGGGTGTGGGCGCCTCACCAAATGAGGACGCAATTGAAGCTGACGATGACATCTACCTGGAAAAGTACGCCCGACTCAACTACGGCACCTCGGAAGAAAGAAGCGCCCAAATCATTAGACAACCGTTGTCAAAGGGAGTGCTCGAAACACCCATCCCACCAAACTTCGCAAGCATCGGACTGCCCTCATATGAAGGAAAATCTGATCCAGAGGTCACTTGAGTACGTTCTGCCGAAAAATGCAACTTCTCAATGCGTCTGACGCTGCCTTGTGCAAGGCATTCCCCTCCACCTTCACCGGAGGATGCAGTGGGTGGTACTCCTCGCTCCCGGAGGGTATCATTCAGAGCTTCGCTCAATTCGCTTTGTTGTTCACAACAAAGTACGCAAGCCAGAAGAAGCAAACGTTGACGGTTCGTACACTTGTCAATCTTAAGCAAAGAAAGGGAGAAAGCCTCAGGCACTTCATGGGGAGATGGTGGGAAGTCGCGTCCAATGTCAAAGACCTAACCCCTCCACTTATGCGCACCAACCTAATGGATGCGAGCACTAACGAAGAGCTAAGGCGCTCTCTAGCCAAAAGAGAGATACGACAGGTAGCTGAACTGGAAAAAAGATTCAGAAAGCAATCCTCATGGAGGAGGCGCTAGGGGCAAAGGAGGAGGAACAGGGAGGTAGCTCCAAGCGCCCAGCTCAAAGTGGGAGGGGCGAGGCGCCAAGGACCAGAAGGCGGAGTCTAGATCGACAAGATGATGCCCGACGTCCCAATGTCTGGGTAAGGAGAGACGTTCTTGCAAATTCACAAGAGTCTCGCCGCGACCGAACCAACCGCGAGGGCGCGAATCAATCTCGAGGACAGGCAAACATGTACTGCGAGTACCACAACTCGCGCACCCACAACACTGTTGACTGCCACTACTTCAAAAGGCACTTAAGACAATCTCTGACCGAGGAGGAGTAAGAGAAATGTTCCAGAAAGCAGAACAGGGAAATCAATCCCCGCGGGAGCGCAGTCGCTCCCCAGCCGCAAGGCTGCCGGTGCAGGAGCGCCTGGGTCCTAACCCGAACGACAAGGAGATAAGAACCATCGCGAGAGGGGAGCCCAGCCGAAAGAAGAAGCGCAAGGGGCAAGCAAGTGACACGTGGTGTATGAAGATCGCAAAACAAGAGGGTCCCGACTTGTCATTTACATCGCAAGACTATCCTCCGGAGGGCCCATCTGAAAGCCCTCTTGTCATCAACATACAAGTGGAAGGGTGCAAAGTATTCAGAGTGCTGGTAGATAGTGGGAGTTCCGCTGACATACTCTTCTATTCATGTTGGCGTCAAATGCAGACACCCCCCCGAGGTTATGCAAGCCTCAGAAGCCCAACTTGTCGGCTTTTCCGGAGCAAAAGTGAAGGTGCTAGGAACTGCGCGCTTAAAGGTCAAGGTAGGAGACGAGGAGCCAAGTGCCACACACCCAGTGGACTTCCACATTGCTGACTGCCCATC